GATGGGGAGTGGGAGCTGTGCACCCCGCCGATCCCTCTCTACTGTCGCCCCTAATGCCGGGCTGAGGGGCTGGGGTAGGGCGAGCTGCTGAGTCACTTCCCCCTGCAGATTCGGGGTGAGTCACCCCGGAAGCGCCGCTACTGCCCGCCTGCCCCGGCCCCCCTCACCACTCGGTCTCTGCACCCCGCCGGCAGGTTGCGGCCCCCAACGAAAGGTCGCCCGGTGGATCGTGTGTCGGTGGCGGCGCGGGGGAAGTGACCTTCTCCGGCTGGGCCGAGGAGTAACCGGATCCCCGGGGCCCTCAGTAAATTTAGCGCTTGACCTTTCCGGTGTGGGGGTCCTTAATATTTAACCGAGGCGCCTCGGCCTTTGGACAGGGCTGCTGGGCTCCCTCCCACCCCGCCGGGTGGGGAGCGGCAGATGATCCCGAGGGAAGGCAGCCGGCTGTGCCCAGCCCAGCAGGTTCCCTGTTGCTCCTCCTCATCCATGTCTGTCTCTCCCCAGATTTGGCCGCATCGGCCGCCTGGTCACCCGGGCTGCTGTCCTCTCTGGCAAAGTCCAAGTGGTGGCCATCAACGATCCCTTCATTGATCTGAATTACATGGTGAGTTGCCTTGTAGTGCCCCCTCCGGGCCTTTCTGAGTAGGGCTTCTCTGGCTCTGTTCTAGTAGCTTCCCAGGAAAACCGGGTGTGAGGTAGAGGCACAGGGCTGGGAGGTTTGGCAGAGCCAAGTACAGCACTGTGGTTGGACAAGGTCACTGAGGGAGGTGAGGAGCTGAGACTGTGTTAGAGGCAGAGTGAGGGTTGGGAAGATGGCAGACCGGGGTGCTTGACTTTCCCGTTTCTTTCCTTGCTAGGTTTACATGTTCAAATATGACTCTACTCATGGTCACTTCCGTGGCACTGTCAAGGCTGAGAATGGGAAACTCGTGATTAACGGGAATGCTATCACCATCTTCCAGGAGTACGTATCTCTCTCCCTCTTGCCCCTCTGGAGGATGAAAGCGGGTGTCTCACAGAGCAGCTCTTACATTTTTTTTGTCCCTCCTCAGGCGTGACCCCAGCAACATCAAGTGGGCAGATGCTGGTGCTGAATATGTTGTGGAGTCCACTGGTGTCTTCACCACCATGGAAAAGGCTGGGGTGAGTATGCCACAGTGGCACACGGGAGAAGACATACTGCTGCTCCTGCTTGTGGGGCACATCACCATGTACAGAGTTGCTCAAGACAGGATAGACGTGGGGCTGGGAGGGAGAAGAGATTGTCTGAAATGAGCTGTTGGGAGGATTCTGGTTTATCTAATCTTCTCTTTTTTTCAGGCTCATCTGAAGGGTGGCGCTAAGCGTGTTGTCATCTCTGCTCCCTCAGCTGATGCTCCCATGTTTGTGATGGGTGTCAACCATGACAAGTATGACAAGTCTCTGAAAATTGTCAGGTAAGGAGAGAGGAAGATGTTCTCTGGCGTGGATTTCTCCCCAGCTGTGTGGGATCTCATCTCACCTTTACAGATATGTTGCCTCTAGCTGATGAGCCTTCCTCTCTTTCCCAGCAATGCCTCTTGCACTACTAACTGCCTGGCGCCCTTGGCCAAGGTCATCCATGACAACTTTGGCATTGTGGAGGGTCTTATGGTAAGTCTGGAGCTTGCAGGTCAGGCGGATGCCCCATCCCCAGGTCCTTACGTGAGAGGAAAAGCATCTGTATTCCCTGTGTCCTTTGGGATGGGGAGGAGGTGCCTGGGATGCTTTTTCTGGAGAGGATTGGATGCGTTCTTATCCTGTGCCCTCTTTCGCTAGACCACTGTCCATGCCATCACAGCCACACAGAAGACAGTGGATGGGCCCTCTGGGAAGCTGTGGAGGGATGGCAGAGGTGCTGCCCAGAACATTATCCCAGCATCTACTGGGGCTGCTAAGGCTGTGGGAAAAGTCATCCCTGAGCTTAATGGGTGAGTGTTGTCCTTCTTGGGTGTCAAGAAGAGGTAGCTGGTGCCTGGCCAGCTCTGACCCATTCCTAGTGGAATGGAGGGCTGGCAGAGGGGTTCTGGGTGCTGTTCTCTGCTGACTCACGTTGCTCACAGGAAACTTACCGGAATGGCTTTCCGTGTGCCAACCCCCAATGTCTCTGTTGTGGACCTGACCTGCCGTCTGGAGAAACCAGTAAGTGTTGTTGACAAGGCCCTAAGAACCTCCAGACCTGCCCCTGCTTCCTCTAAACTCCATCTTGCACCTGGAATTACCCTCTCTGCACTTGTCTCTTCACTAAGATTTGGTATTTGTGAAAATAGTACTTGCTGTGGTGCTCCCATGTGTCTCTCCTCCCTTCCCCTCCCCCCAGCGGACATTTTGTGTGAGTTGGGATCTGACGATCTTAAATTCTTCTCCTCTCAGGCCAAGTATGATGACATTAAGAGGGTAGTGAAGGCTGCTGCTGATGGGCCACTGAAGGGCATCCTGGCATACACAGAGGACCAGGTAAGTAACTCCTCCTAGTCTCTTGGCTTGTGGTTATTTGCCCTTCCCTGATTTTTCTGATGGTAGCAGCCTTGCTGGGATCCTGGTTTGGTCACTTCTGGCTGGTGGGTGACCATGTGTTATTTCCTCTCTGTTCCAGGTTGTCTCCTGTGACTTCAATGGTGACAGCCATTCCTCCACCTTTGATGCGGGTGCTGGCATTGCACTGAATGACCATTTTGTCAAGCTGGTTTCCTGGTAGGCACAGCCTGGGGGGAGGTGCTGGGGGACACTTGGGCTGGCTCAGACAAGTTAGTTGGTTCTGGCTGGCGATGCAGGGTGATATATCGAGCCCTGCTGAGTACGGTGGCTCCAACTTGTAATGGTCTTCGGAGCAAGATTGCTTCTTAGCGAAAATTAGCCTGCTTCTTCCGTTGTTGGAGGGTGGCTGGAATGTTTCCTGCTTTCTTTACTGGAAGTGGATGAGAAGCTACCTGGTTCAGTTGTGTCGGGTGGGGCAGGGGAGCAGGAACAGTGGAGGAAGGGATGCAAGAAATGGGTCAGTACTGATAGCGCACTTCTGTTTCTGTCCCCAGGTATGATAACGAGTATGGATACAGCAACCGTGTTGTTGACTTGATGGTCCACATGGCATCCAAGGAGTAAGCCGAGCACGCAGCCCCCCTGCTGCCTAGGGAAGCAGGACTCTCCTTCATTGGAGCCCCTGCCCTTGTTCACCACCGCTTAGCTCTGCATCCTGCAGTGAGAGGCCAGTTCTGTTCCCTTGTCTCCCCCACTCCTCCAACTTCTCCCCGAGCCTGGGGGAGGTGGAGAGGCTGATAGAAACTGATCTGTTTGTGTACCACCTTACATCAATAAAAGTGATCACCATCTGAAATGCCTTGTCTGTCAGTGGGAAATGGGAGAAAGTGGGGGGGGGCGTGTAATGAGCAAATGTTGGTGCTTTAAGATGGGCCCTGCCAGCCTGGCTGCGACTGCTGGGGCCAGTGCTTCGAAGTGCTATGCAGACACCGTGGTGAGGCTGTGAACCCAGGTGGCAGGCACATGGGAAATGCCAGAAGAGCTGTTTGGACATCTTGGAAGGGTGCTCTGCTGTAATAGCTGACTTGTAGAGAGCAGCAAGAGCCCATCTGCTGAGTGCTGGCTGCAGTGAGCAGAGCTCTGGTATGCAGACTGGTGAGCTACCTCTGCCAGGTGCAGGAGGCAAGACTACTGCCTGTGAGCCAAAATAAGGTGTGGCGCAGGGCTTTGCTTGCAGGACTGCTGTGTGGTAGAGTGGAAGGCAGCTCTGCTGTTCCATCCATCTCCCAGCTCTCTAGATTTGCATGTCTGATGGGTGTATGCAGAATAAAGTGTTGAGCAGATGCCTTTTTTTGCGTTTGGCTTGGCAAAGGGGCACAAGAAACAGGAATTATTTCTTTTCCTTCACCCTGCCTTAGTAGAAATGTTAGAAGGAGGATTTCTTCGTTTGCTTTTACCTTTTAAAACGAATCAGCTTGCCCTAGAGGAAATGGCTGCCTAGGGACGTGTCAGAGGCCAGTGTTACCATGGTGGTAGCTAGTCTTAATTCTGGCTTAATTCTATGCAGAAGGAGGGGCAGCTGCAGTTAAGCTCCTGAGCAGCAAATCTCTGCAAGGTGAGTGTCAGTCCTCTGACAGGGACTGCGTTACCTCCTAGAAGCACAAATGCTGCCAGGCAGGGGCTGAGCCTCCTGTGACCTATGAGCACTAGTGTAGATAAACGATGCGCTGCACAAAATTGTGTGGCCTCTCCATTTTTAGTGACTCAATTTACTTTCTCAGGGTGATGTGTCATTCTCTCCCTGGCAGGCAGGGCTGGAGCTGTTGTCTGGGCCACAACTGCTTCAGACCCTGATCTGCAGCAAGGATGTAAGCTGGAGGGCTTAAGCTCCTGGGATCAAGGTATGCTGGACATAGTTTCCTGGAGCTGCTTATCTCCGGCAGTTGGGCTGCGTAAAAATTAAATGTTTACTGGACTAGAGGGCAATGACTCAAAATTGCTTTGCAAAGAGTAAAAGTTTAAATAACCTGCCTCTGGACAGGAGCTGGGACTCTGAGCAGCTTATTGGGACAAGCAGCAACACCTGGCTTACCCCACAAATGGCCCCATAGGAGCTTTAGGTAACTCTGGGGTTAAATGGGAGCTGCCTGATGCTGGGGCTAACTGGAGGCAGCCCTTGGGTTTCTGCTGGGTAGAAGTGTGGCCTGCAGGCCTGTCAGGCTTACAAATGAGTCTTGGGTTGGTCCCATCCTATCCTCGGTTGCTGTGCTTGGGTGCTTTGAAGGGCTGCCCTGTGCACTGCCGCCTGCATACTTGTGTGCGTGCCAGTGAGCTTGATAATCTGGAAGTGCAGAGAGGCCACCGAAACATCTTGTTGGGGAGCATGCCTGTTTTCCCAGGTTCAAAATATCTTTGCTTTACAGAGTTTAAAGCAGCAACATTTCAAGAAAACCCTTATATTTCCTGAGCAAGATAAGGCTGCCTGAAAATTCACCTAAAGCAGAGAGCTCTTGTTATTTGACAAGAACAAGCCCTATCCAACCTAAGATCAAATTGCTGTGCAAATGAGTAAATTCATACAACCTAGGAGGGGTGGGGTGGAGGAAGCGGTATGTGCTTTCAGACCAACAGTTGCTGGGAATGTCTCAGATAAAGGTTCACTGTGTTTTAAAATTATGATTATTTCAACCAATTTACAATCTTGCTTGAAATTCTTGAGAAAATGTGGTAGCTAGGTGAGGCAAACCAGGAATCAGATTTCAAAGCACAGTTGCTCTTGCATGGAAACAGGGAGAGCAAGTGTGGCAAATAAGTCGTACAGCCCTAGGACTGCCTGGAGGGCTTGGTTTCCTCTCACACAAGCTCCCAAAAAAAGCACAGCTCTTCTCCCAAATTCTCATTTTGCATCCAACCGGTGTGCCTGCAGATGGCACCACAGCAAGGCCCTTCCGGACAGATGGAAAAGCTAGTTCAGCGGTTAGCCTGTCCAAAAACAGCACCGCTGTCCTAAAAAAAAATTTTTTTTTTAATTTTTTTAAATTTTTTGTTTGTTTGTTTGGTCAATTCAAAAAATTGACACATATGACTGCAGATGGCATTGGGAGATCTGCTGTGGCAGCTGATTCCCTCTCTGGAGAAGAGTTTTCCCCTAAGTAGGGGAGCTCTAGGTTTGCTCTTAAATCATTTCTAAGGAAAACTGATAGAAATGCCTGGTCAGGGGAGGCAGGCGCTCAGACAGACATAATGAGGTGCTTGTTCAGCAAAGGAGCTAAAAGCGATCGTGCCACTCTGCCGGGACAAACCAGCTCTAAGGGCAGCTGCAATAAGCCAGAATCCATCCCAGTTTATGAATGGCTTGCAAGGGGAAGTACAGAAAGACACTGATCCTGACCAAAGACTCAACTCCGCCTTCCTTCTCTGGCCAGGCACCAGGGCTCCCTGTGCTGGGCCATAGTGGGACAGGAATGCACCTGAGATATGGGTTTACTCCTTTGTAGGGCTATGCCGACACAAAGCTTTCCAGTCAACCCAAGGGACAACGTCTCTGATGGGCAGCCAACCACTTCTAGGGGTGGTAAGCTGCACGTTTTGTTTTCTTTTTTTTTAAGACAGAGAAAATTCAAGTGATGCTGCAGTATGGTAATTAGCAGTGCTGTTTGTTACAGGAGAATTCCTTTTTATGGCAACTTTGAATGTTCAGAGAAAATATTTTATACTTCATTGACATTTGCACACACTACTATGCCTGCATTACTTGTCCGAAGAAACGGCTAGTTGTCCTCAGACCACCTTTTTCCTCAAGATGTCAGCATGAAACTTCAGCATTAAGGAAGATGCCGTGGACTGAAAATCATCTTGAGCAGATGTTGAAACTAATGAAGCTTGCTGGGGGGGGGTGGAATCACACTGAACTGTAACAAATGGTGACTGCATAAGCACAGTAAAAAAAGTCTTGGACATTTAAAACATACTCTGTCCACTTCTGAAGTGAACAAGCAAAGCAGTCAACAAGATCTGTGCAAGGAACAGGAGATACAGGTCTCTAATAGGAAAGACTAAGACACAAGGCTAATATTGGACAGTCATGTAAGACAAACATCTTAAACGACAATGTTCCAAGCTCCTTTGTAACAGATGCCATTCACAAAACACAGGTTCATGATTTCTTAAACTCAGGGTCTGCAAACACCCTGGTGGGCACTAGCTGTACTCACAGAAAGCAGACATTTGATCAAAACCAAGCTGCGTACCTTTGAGCAATTGTACTGTACACAGACTGAAAAAACACATAATTTGTTACTTACTGGTCTGAGCTGAATGTAATTCCTTACTACAGGATAGCTAACTTACCTCCATATATTACCTTACTATAGAAGTGTCATCTTCTTGAGGGAGCTATTCTCAATTAAATGTTCCTAGAAGGAACAGTAGTACTGGGTTATACTTTACTGCAGATTGGAAAAGGCAGCTGTCAAAAAGCTGAAGCTATAGTGAAATTTAAAATAGAAAAAAAAACCCTCATAAATACTAGCAAATTAAACTTTAAGAAAAGGTAGATTTTTCAGGAAACTACATCCCAAATAGAAAACGTAGTATGAAAACCTTTTTCAAATGCATCTTGGGGACAAGAAAGCTGCCAAAAAGCTGTAAGATGGGGTGGGAGTGATTAGGAAAGCTAAGACCATGGCAGAAAAGTAAAACTGATGTTTTGCCATCAGAGGAGCTTTGGTGTACTCCCAGACAAGAGATTTTTTTTTTTTTTTTCCTCAGCAGCAATGAGACATTGCAAACTGGTGTCAGGACTTGAGAAAATGTCTGTGACACAAAGTGCAGCAAACCCTCAGTACCATGTGCCAGCCTCAGATGGTCTCCAGTATGAAATGGAAGAAGAGGTTACTGTGCTGTAAGTAATTCACCACTCACATCAGCCTCCCCACGCTGTGATGAAAAGCAACTGGATTTAGAAAAAAAAACCCAAAACAAAACAGACTGGCAAAACCTTTCAAGGACCCTGAGCTGCTCCAGGACAGGGAAGACACCCTCTCCAGGCTGAAAACTAGTGGCAAGGCTGGTGGTAACTGAGTGAGAGAAGGTGCAAATGGCCAACGTCTGAGGACATCTGCCACAGTCAACACCTTCAGAACAATTTGGACCATGGGGTGCCAAGGTTTGTTGATTATGCAAATTTTGCAGAACCCTCAACACCGCATCAGCCTGTGGAAAGGTGCAGAAGGATCTTCTGACCAAGTGATTGGGTTATTAAAACGGTGGGTGAAATTCAAGGTTGCTGAAATAAGTAATACATGTAGTGGGGGGGGACAGCTCTGACATTGCAGGTCTCAAAGCCCTCCTGTAACATTGCCCAATTCTCCCCCAAAGAAGTGAGAAAATTTTGATGGCCTTGCTCTGAGTTCTCAGACGGGAAAAAAAAAAAAAAAAAAAAAAAAAAAAAAAAAGTGGTTTGTAATCTCCAGCTTTTTAGTTACCAGGTTGAGTACTGGTTTAGGTGCTGGACCGCAAGCAGACACTGAAATCTCACTGAATGCAACTCCTCAGACTCTTAGTATGCCTTTCTCAGCCTGACTAACTGCCAGCTAAACCATCATCATGAAGGCACTGCGCAAAAATGCTCACCTTTTTTTTTTCCTAGGAGCAAAATAACTAAACTTTTCACTCTCAAAACATTTTTCTCCAGCCTGGAATCACGGTTAGGAGTCTTTGCTCTATCTACTCCAACTTGTGATGCAAAGCAGGATAAAGCATACCAATGTCACATAGGAATAAAAGATGTTTAAAGATGCCATCAGCTTCAGCATCTGGCTGAGCACTCACACAAGATTGCTTGTAAGCCCTGCT